AGAAGGTGAGGGGATCAATTGTGGTACATCCAGACAATGGAGGAAACTTAGGTGCATGTCACAAGTATGAAAAACTTTCACCATGTATGATTTCAATCATAAAACATTCTGAAAAACTACTGAAATAATAAAAATGATCAGTGGTTGTCATGGGTTATAGGGGAGGGAGGGATTAAAAAGGTGGAAAGCAGAGGATTTTGGGGGCAGCGAAACTATGATATGATATGATAATGGTAGACACACGTCACTACACATCTGTCCAAATCCATGGACTATACAAGCATAAGAGTGTAACATCAACTTTACTCTTCAGGTGATTATGATGTGTTGATGCAGAGTGGTAGATAGTAATAAATTTACTACTGCAGCAAGGGATGTCAAGAGTTGGGGGCAGAGGTGTGCAGATGGGGTGGGGTTGATGGGAACTCTGTATTTTCTGCTCAGTTTTAAACCTAAAACTACTCTAGAAAATGAAGTGTTTTTAAAAAGTCCTGACAATGTGCTAATATGCTATCATGATATAGCAGCCACTTTAATGAAATGTTAAAAGATTTTTATACTAAAACATAAAGTAATATAATCTGAAACTCAAAGGGCATGTTACTGTCTATAGCTGCGACAGGGAAATAAATGGCAATATTTAATGTGTGAAAGGCAGCGTAGAAGTGCTGAAGCACTTTGAAAGTAAGACCCCAACTTGTGCTTTGATAACAACACTGACAGGTCACCATGTGGTTTAAGAGAGTCTTTGTTTTTAGTTCCTGAGTGTGGGTAATGCTTTTCCAGAAAACACAAATTCAATGTGTAGTTGAAATAAACTGCGTTTTGATATCCGTGTAATGTTGAACTTGCTCTTAAGGAGAAAATAGAGAAGTAGAGATTCGGGGCAGGACAGATGGAAACACTGACTAAGAGTAAGCAGAGATCTAACAGGGAATAAAGAGCAAGACTTTTAAGCCATGAAGAAGCCACGATGACCATGTCAGACTATCACACCCTCACAAAACAGGAAAACAATAATGTCAGACCATCACACTCGCACAAAACAGGAAAACAATAATGTAAGATGGCTAATGGGAAAACAAAACAAAACAAGTAGGTGGAAGGGCCAAGAAGGAAACATTTCCATTTACAAAGTTTCCAGAGAGAAAGTAAATTCAAAGAGACAGTAGACTTTAGAGAGACTTCTGGTTAAATGAATTCGATTCTAAGGTGTTAGATATCAACACAATTTACAGGGCCAGTCAAAGGTCTACACATCGTAAGTCAGAGGTCTGGTGCTGCTACCCATTGGCTATAGAACCTTCCACATCTACACCTGGCTTGTCTAGTGTTGGTCAGCTGTTTCTCCCATTCAATCCCCCCAGCCCTGCCCTGCTCACTCCCACATACGAATTTGCTTCTGCCTTTGTCAGACTCAGAGCTCCTCCACCTCCCCTCTTCTGTGTCCCTACAATGGTCCAGCTCTGAAATCTGCCTGGTGCCTCCTGCCTCTTTCCTTGAGAAACACCAAATTCTCACTCCTGATCCAGTCTTCCAAGCGACTCCTGACTTGTTTCATCGTCTCAGAGCGCCTGTCTATTCTCTTATTCCACTCAGCCTCTGCTTTTCAGGAAACCGCATCAGATCTGTTGTAGATGCTGGAATGCAGTAGGGAAACCCCAAGTCAGGCAAACCCTATCGCTCCTGGGGGTGTGGTGAGAGTGGGGGTAGGGATGTGTGTGGGAGATGGGTATAAAGCACATGCAATAAATAAACAAAATGTAAAGCAGACAAGATAACTTATCTCTTCTCACAGATTTCGTCCCAAGACAAGTAGGGAAAAGCCAGTGCTGATCCTTAGAGGGGACACTTAAACAGGTTTGAGAAGAAAAGGTCTTTATCAGTTGGCGCGGCCCCCAGGCGCCCTGTCTGCGCCTCAGAGCCATCCAACCTCACGCCCAAGCACTGTCTTCCCTTCTCTGGGTTACGGTCCTTTAGAGGTTACGGTCCACATTCTGTCTCCACATTCTTTTCTATTTAGCTAACTTTTTAGCTGAAAATGTCATGTAAACATAAAATCACCACCACCACCTGTAGAAATGATGACCTTGAAGGACCTTCTTAACTGTTTCTCACTTTTCATCGTACCATCATGCAGCTTCTGCTCCACCACTCCCCTCAGTCCATCTGACAAAGGTGTCTGATGACTGTTCCTCCACTGTGTCCAGCCTGAGCAGGCTTTTCCGGCCAATCTTACTGTACATCAATACTCCTGACCACCTATTTCCTCCCTGGGCTCAGATAAGCGTTTTTGTGAGTTTACAACCCAAGTTCTTCTCTGATGCTTCTTAACATTGATGTCAAACGGAGTTCTGTCTTTGTCCATGTAAGTGTGCAGCTTAGGTAGGCTGCTCAGATTATTGTTACAGGATTGGGATGTCTTTGTGAAAGAAAGAAGGTCGTATTCATCATTACCACTCTTGAACAGCAGGTGTAAACCAAGGTGTCCCGAGCAAGTTGATATATATGGTCACCCTATTCTTAGGTGATCACGCTGTTGTTGTTTTTAACGCACAGCTTTTAACCATTTCAACCTGCTGTCTTGACACTGACATTGAGCTTTATTTTTCTAAATCTTCAGGTCATCATTTCTTACAGGCATCTCAAATTTAGAATGTGCAAAAGTCAATCATTTACATTCCTAAAACTTGTGAATGCTTGTTAATTCCCTAAGTTCACAGAATCACCCAGTTCCTCAACTCTCCATGGTAGGAGTGATTTTACAACTTCCAGTTCTGTCCCACCTGTCACATTGCACAAGGCATACTGACCTTTGCACTGAAGATACATCTAATCCATCCTTTCTCCTCCTGGACTGTGGCCATAATCTTTTATCTGAGTTCCTGGCTCTCATCTTGTCTCCTTCAAGTCTGCCTGCCTTACTGCTTGCCAGAGCGATCTAAAACTGACCGTACTTCTTTGAATCTTTCAGCAACTCTCTATGGATTACAGGTTAATGACATTTACGGCCTTTCCATTCCTGCTTGCTTTTTATAACATGATAGCTTCTTCTACACTTTGAACTCTAGTAATACCGAACAGTTGGTAGAAACTGAAATACACACACACACACACACACACACGTCATTTAAGCTTCTCACTTCCAGGCTGTTTGTGGTCCATGCTGTCGTTCTGCCTAGAATGCAGATCCCCTTACTAGCTTACTAGCACAGCCTCTATGTTTTCTAGTCACTCACAGCTGAGGTAGCAGGGAGCTCAGTACTTCTCCTTTAAACTTTCATGCTACCTTTATCTTAGCATCTGACCTATTAACCTGAAATTAATCGTGCCTATCTTTCTTTATAGTTGGCAAGCTTCTTGAAGACAGGAACAGTGTCCCTTATATATCTCATAATCACCCTTTTTTTTTTTTTTTTTTTTTTGAGAGCTCATCCACTGTGATAGATTTAACCAAGAAAATTAAGTTAGGCTAAATAGAGAAGTGAGTAAACAACTTTACTTCCCCTGAATTTTCCCACATGTGTCCCTATGTTTTATAAAGTCCTAAGTAGAGGGATTTAAAATGTATAAGGGCTCTAGCTGCCAAAAATTTAGCTGTTTTATGAAATTAATTTTAAAAAGTAGATCTTATAGCATAGGAGACAGGATGGTAAAATTGAAATATAGCGGTGATGCAACCAAAGTTATGAACAAACATGTAATTGTTTAAGACTACAGAAAATCAGAACACATTTCAATAGATAATTGATTTGGGAAATGTCATAAAAATATTATCTGCCTTCTTTATGTTAATAAAAGAGCTTCTTTTTATCTTTTATAACTTACATTAAGCACACACACACACACACACACACACAACTTGAAAGTGGGAGATTGGTAATGAATATCCTAACATGCATTACCCATCAAATCTACCCAAACAGCCTTCCCACTTCCCAGATGTTTCCCATAATTTCCACGTTCACATCTGATTAGCTCTGACTCAGAAGAAGGAACTTTTCACTGTCTGTCAAAATCCAAACTAACTGACCTTAAAGGCACAGAAAAAAAAATCCACATTTTTTTTTGTAAAATGTGGTGTTCTTGTCACATTCATTCAAGTAGTAATTTGGAGGGAATGGAGAAAGCCTAATCTAAAATTTTAAAGAATATTATTAGTGTTACTAGAGGCATGCAAGCACATCTGGCACACTGGCACTCAGGGAACAAATGAAGAAACCGCGGAACAATTTAACAGTCAGGATTATGAATGATTCCAAATAGTTTATGTTCTTCTGACAAAGTCCTATCCTTATGACAGCTTTTTATCTCCTATTTAGTCATTATTTTGTGCAATCTTTTCTAATTATATTCTGGCTTACAAATCTTGTTTTGTGAACTGTGATTATTTTTCTGAGAAGGAAAACAACTTGACTTATTTTGAAATTTAAAACATGCTCTGATATTTTCTTTAAATTGAGGATTATTCAAGAGATAGACCCTGGCTTTCTAGCACCTTAAGGTAGATCTGATGGGAATATGTCTACCATTTGGCACTATACTGAGAAAAAAAAACTTTCCTATATTTGAAACATTAAAATATCTTTAAATGTAATATTCAATTTTTATTGGCAAGTTGTGATTCTATAAAAGTGTTTCAATCTCATAATAAATATCCTTGAATACTCTCTACCTGTCAGAAGGTGGAGCTCTAAACATATCTGAAATGCTGGCTTTTTATATGTGCGTTCACAAATGAGCGTAATGAGGAGATTAAAGCAGGAGTAAAGTCTTTAGAAAAATGGTTCTGAAGAATATTCTGATTCTTCACATTGCCCAATATGTACATGGTTCACTAATAAAAGAGATGCTAAGGGTATGCCTCGAAAATTTCAACATTTTCCTTACTATAAAAGTGTGGTGTGTAAATCAGAATTCAAAAAAAGGATATTTAAGATAAAACACACTGAAAAATCAGAACCACCTACTTGAACGGAGGCAAGGTCATTAATACTTACAAGCATCTCGGATATAGAGTAACATGGCTATGAAAATATAGTCCACTAAACTCAGGCTGAGGCCATCTGCAAACAAGGCATCCCAGACCACCAGGAGATCCTGAAGGGGGAACTCTCGGCCAAACAGCAGCCGGACCCACCGTCTGAAGGGAAAAAAAAAAAAACAAACAAAATGCAGAAAAGAAAACAGTACTTTTGAGAGATCTATAAAGAGGAATCTTTTTTTCCTGTAACATGGAAAAAGCCGATAATTCAAATGGATCACACTAAAAAAACATATTAAAAACACATCACAAAATCCAAGTTTCAAACTTTCAAAGAATTTAAAATTAGGTCACCATTCTCAAACATACTTACATGTATAAAACACAAGTAGGATACTTCAAAAGGACGGAAATCTTTCATATTTACTAGAATCACACATCTTAGAGAAAAAAATAAATGTACAGTGGCTGGTAGTTGCCTCATATGTAAGGCAATATATGCATTATTTGGAAGAAAATCTGCTTTTCCAAAATTCCATAATCACTCCTTGATTTTTTGCTGTTGTTAGCTGGACTTTTGTAAATGGTTACCTGACAAATTACTATAGTTGAGCAGAAAACTACATTTTTTTGCATTTCATTTCCACTGAAGATATTTAATTTAAAATTAGGTGTGGGAAATAAATATTTTTAAAATCAAGAATAGCCAGTTATTTCAAATGAAATATACAGTGACACCTAATTTTCAACTTTAGAATTGATGTATACTTTTATTAGTGAGGCTATCCTTCTGGGACATTTTTTTCAAAAAACAGTTTGCCAGGAAAATGGATACAGAGCAGACGCAAGAATTCTTTGGATAAGAACATGAAACAAAGTCTCTATACATTTATATGTCACAAATAGTAGTACTTTAGACTTTCAACAAATGTTATTTCCATCTAATTCTTATATGAAAATTAAAATAATTCACTTTACTATGTTGCTGTTCACTTCTTTTTAATTTTATGCAACAGCTATATTTCCTTCTCTAGGGTCTTCAAATACAGTTATGTGTCATTCTGGCAGAGTAAAGAATTAAAAATTCCAAGTTTCTACTACTACTATGTAGTATAGTAAAATTTTAAAAAATTTAAAATTTAAAAATTCTTTGTAAAGTTAGAAGCTAAAGATAATCATTTATGGGGTTAAAGTGAAGCCGAAAGAAATTCAAATACTTTCAGTACGTATCAGGAAGAATCAAAGCTATGGCAAAATAGTGCCTAACCACATATGTGTATCAGTTTATTAGGAACTATAGCATCAAATTTTTAGGCATGTAATCAAATTCATCAACAGAATAATTTTCATTTTCAAACATATCTGTGATGTTATTCACTTAGCAAAAAGAAATTTAACATTTAAAAAATGTTAAGTGTTGTTTACAATTTGTATCTTTTGGTTTTACTCCACTGCTAGTAAGAGAGATGGCTGAAACAATTTTGTTTAAATATGCCTATATTTATGTATCTTAGAAGAAAGCAGTTATTTCTTTATATACTTGTAATTCTTACACATTGCAAGTACTAATATTTATTGTTATAAGAAGTAAAAAAAAAATCTAAATTAAATAAGTTGTTCTTCTTAATTACAAATAATTAACTGGTTTTGTAAAGAGTGCTGGGGAACCAGAGAATGCAAAAATCACATTTGACACAATTTTGGGTACCTGTTTAAAGAATTAAAATATATATATATATATATATATATATGTATATATATATGTGGACATATACCAGACCTATCTCTCTCTCTTTGTATGGATAGGTATAGAAATATCTATATTCTTAAAAGCCTAAAACATTTAGAATGTGGAATTGGATGAAAATCTGTCGGTGAAAAAAGTGGATGAGGATGTACAATGTGACTGTAGCAGCCAGCACTATATTTTATAATCAAAATTTACTAGAAGAGCAGAATATAAAGATTCTCATTCGAAAAAGATAAATATGTGAGTTGACCAAATTGCTAATTAACTGTACAGGGAGACTCCTTCTGCAATGTATACATACATGAAATCATCACAATATACACTGTAAACATTTTATAGTTTTGTCAAGTATACCTTAAAAAAGTTGAAGAATAACTAAAATTTAAAAAAGAATCACCTTAGATAATGGATAGGCAAAATTTGGCAGTTTCAACCTGGAAAACTGATATTTAACTGATCCCACCTAGTGAAAGTTTGGATATCAGTGTAAAATTCATGCATCATATCTGTAAAACAGATGTGAACTTGACCCTGTCACTCTCCATTGTTACTTTAAAGCTTTCCTTATATAAAAAGGCCACCTAGTAACTACCACTACTATATTCAGAAGGATGTTACTTCAGAACAAGATGTAGGGGGAAAATATCCTGTATATTTTCCTTATCTTCTAATGAAAGCAAAATGACTTTGAAAAGTTGGCATCTACCCACTGTAGCATTAACAAAAAACAGGACAAAACTGATGAAGGTTAATCCATAGGACAGATGAAATTGCAACGTGATCCCCTTACAGCTCAAATTCTCATTTTCTTTTGGACTAAAGTTTACCTTTGGTTTCATCACAGATAGGGCTACATGATCAAAAAGGAAAAAAAATAATAAATTAAATGAATTTTTAAAGAAATAACTTATATTCCTATTATTTCGATAACACAGTGCCAGTTATTGCTCAAACTGCTCTTCAACCTTCCTGCTGATTAGGGCTGATTAGGACTGTGTTAACTTCTCTTCAAAATTGGTCCTGCAGATACATAACACACAGCAAAGTCCACCGCAGCACCACCAGGAAACAACTGCAAATACTGAGTTAACCTACATCGAATAAAACATCTTCAAAACTATATGGAATGTAAGTCTTCAGTACTTTTATAATTAACATGTAACCTATGATGTGTCACTTAATAAATGTTTTGCATTGATTTATTTTTAAAGTTTCATCTTGCTAAGTATACTGCTACACAATTTCAGAATAAGGACCACATTCTGCGGCAAGTGCG